GCAAGGGTACACACACACAGAATAAGTCTCCCAGAACCCAGGCAAGTGCTACATAATCTGTGGATACTCCATAAATGCTTGATGCTTGTGGTTGGCTGATGATGTTGATGATGATGATAACTAGATGAGACTTCTTAGTAGAACAGTCTTCTAAGTAATGATTGCAATGAAGCAAGAATTTATGACACTCCTTATTAAAATTGTAATTGCATAATTAGGCCTTAAGGTATATATTTTCCCCCTTTGGTAACACATACTGATTTCCACTCTCTAAAAATACCTTGGCAAGGAAATCTAAACCTCAAAGAATCAAGAAAATTTTCCACAGAACAAAGACTGGTAAGAAACAAATCACAGCACCTTGGGAAGCCAGAAAATGGAGCTTTTAAACTCTGGTAAGTCTTTCAAAACCAAACGAATTACAGTTTTTCAAGGGAAAAAGGCCTTACACTTGCCTTTCTGGCATCTTTCCTGCTTAAGTGCAGAGCAGTTGTGGGAGCAGCAGGAATCGGCAGGGAGGTCTGTATCCTAGATTCTCTGCCTCAACCACACACAAGTCTATGACTTGGATGTGCCATGCAGCTCAACTGGGCCTCAGTTTCTTCATTGGTAAATCTCTTAGGAGCCATGCAATCACCATATTTTACTATGCAGTAAGCAAAGAAGATTCACTTCAAAGTTGACTTACAGATGACAAAGCAAAAAGAAATAATACGACCATGGTGCTATGAAAGCAATACAGTCCCCCCAAAAGCAAAGACGACAATCTCTATCTTTGGAATTTAGCTCACAACATGAGAACAATCATAGCTCTGTCAAACAGCTATAAAACACCCAAACCCGCTGTGCTGGGTAAGTCACTTAACCTCTTTGGGTCTCAGCTTCCACAATCATCAAGTGGTCTTTCACGGTTAACACCACTCTCTTACTCTATGAGCTTGACATGACTTTGTATAAACCATGTAGCACATTTTGACTGTGACAGTAATTTTCTTTCAAGCTTTTAACATCTCATTGTGTACCTTAAAACCATTTTCAGGGACATAAATGACTTTACCTTTAGTTTATGTGTGGTTTCACATTCTTTTCCCTCATTCAAGGTATGCTATCATATTCCTTACTCAGAATAATCATGAGTTGACTGTATAATAATGAACTCTCGCCAGGCGTGGTGGCTCATGCCTGTAATCCCAGCACTTTGGGAGGCTGAGGCAGGTGGATTACCTGAGGTCAGGAGTTCAAGACCAGCGTGGCCAACATGGTAAAATCCTGTCTCTACTAAAAATACAAAAATTAGCCAGGTGTGGTGGTGGGCACCTGTAATCCCAACTACTCAGGAGGCTGAGGCAGAAGAATTGCTCGGACCCGGGAGGCAGAGGTTGCAGTGAGCTGAGATTGCACCACTGCATTCCAGCCTGGGCAACAGAGCAAGACTCCATCTCAAAAAAGAAAAATAATTCTCCGATGTAATAAAATTGGGAATGATAATGCTGCTGAAAAATAGCAGTTTTTATCACATAGCATGTTGCTGCTATTCATTAATTGGCAAGGATTACAAATTTGTGATGTATTGAGAATAATAATTTTGCAGAGTGCTACAAATAGGAAATAATCGTAAATTCAGCGCAGATAAGGCACAAGGCTAAATTTCAAATGCCTAAACATCAGGTACAACAAGCAGACTATGAAACGCAACTCCTGACTAAGTATCAACCAACTGATTACTCCTCCCTGGACAATGTAAAAACTGTGATCAGTATGCAACAGTGCATTCCTTCCAAAAAGCTCCCAGCACAACAGAGCTAGAGCATAATCCCTTCATATGAACCAGCTTCTCTAGAACCCAGACCCTTGCCTGGAAAGAAATTTTGAATATTCTGTTTCTAGCTTGACCTCTTGATTAAGTTTCATGGTCATCATTGACAATAAAACTGACTTTAATAACATTAGAAGGTATAGGCATGAGTGGGTAGGACTGGTAAAAATGTCTGCAGACGGATGAGAACTACTGTGGGCTGAAGACTAACATATTTATGAGACTGATTTAATCTCAAAATCAATATGATTAAGAAGTAGGAAGATGCACTGTTGGTGAATTTAAAACCACAGCATCAGTCAAGATATGTTTAGTAATTACTCCGGGCTTCAGTTTTAAGTTTTATCTGAAAGTCAACCCATCAAAACTATTGAAACAAGACGACAAAAACTGGCAAGGTGGAGGGGAAAGCTATAAGCAATATAAGTCACTCACTAAGAGAAAATTTATATAAATTTTCCAAAGATAGGTCCAAATTTGGCAAAGAAGCAAAAAAGAGAACAGTAGCAAAAGTGTTGGAAGAGAAACAAGGCAGTGTCTTTAGAAATGATGCGGTCGGGGCTGGGCGCGGTGGCTCAAGCCTGTAATCCCAGCACTTTGGGAGGCAGAGGCGGGTGGATCACGAGGTCAAGAGATCGAGACCATCCTGGTCAGCACGGTGAAACCCCGTCTCTACTAAAACTACAAAAAATTAGCTGGGCATGGTGGTGCGTGCCTGTAATCCCAGCTACTCAGGAGGCTGAGGCAGGAGAATTGCCTGAACCCAGGAGGCGGAGGTTGCGGTGAGCCGAGATCGCGCCTTTGCACTCCAGCCTGGGTAACAAGAGCGAAACTCCGTCTCAAAAAAAAAAAAAAAAAAAAAAAGAAATGATGCGATCGGACACCACCTAGTGGCCAGAGAGATTCCTGCACTAGGACAAGCAAGACGAGGGACTAAAGATTTCACTAACGTTTTTTTTCCCTGAAGTCAGCACTACTTTGGTAATAAATTTGGACGCGCTAAAAATGTCCTAAAACATGTGGATTTAGAATCTGGATTAGACAAAGCACAGACAGAAGGACAGAACACATCATCCTCTAACAAGAATTGAGAAGCCTTGTCACCAGCTGGCTAGAGAGATAAGCAGCTCTGAGAAAACTCAATTCTGGGTTTTTAAAATCTCAAATGCTTTAATTTGTGAAATTAAAAATAAACAAGCCCCAAAAATGTTCCTGGACAGAAATGCAAAACTAGCATGAATAATTGGAGAGGTCATCAAAAACAAAGAAAAATTTCAAAACCACACACTAGGGACAAAAGAATGCACAATATAATTAACTATGACAGAAATCCGAAAAGAATCCTGCTATCACAGTGGACATCAAACTAAATAGAGATCTGTTACATAGCACGCTACAAAAGAAGATCCGACGGGCACAGTGGCTCATACCTGTAATCCCAGCACTTTGGGAAGCAGAGGCGGGCAGATCACAAGGTCAAGAGATAGAGACCATCCTGGCCAATATGGTGAAACCCTGTCCCTACTAAAAATACAAAAATTAGCTGGGGCCGGGCGCGGTGGCTCAAGCCTGTAATCCCAGCACTTTGGGAGGCCGAGGCGGGTGGATCACGAGGTCAAGAGATCGAGACCATCCTGGTCAACACGGTGAAACCCCGTCTCTACTAAAAATACAAAAAATTAGCTGGGCATGGTGGTGCATGCCTGTAATCCCAGCTACTCAGGAGGTTGAGGCAGGAGAATTGCCTGAACCCAGGAGGCGGAGGTTGCGGTGAGCCGAGATCGTGCCATTGCACTCCAGCCTGAGTAACAAGAGCAAAACTCCGTCTCCAAAAAAAAAAAAAAAAAAAAAAAAAAAAAAAAAAAAAAAAAAAAAAATTAGCTGGACATGGTGGCGCGTGCTGTAGTTCCAGCTACTCGGGAGGCTGAGGCAGGAGAATCACTTGAACTCAGGAGGCAGAGGTTGCAGTGAGCTGAGCTCTCACCACTGCACTCCAGCCTGGGGATAAGACTCCGTCTCAAAAAAAAAAAAGAGAAGATTCTTCATTTATTTGGACTAATTATAGAATTTAGAGGATCTACAATTATTAAGGCATGGATAATCTGAATAAGGTTCAAAGAAAATAAAGGCAATGATTAAGAAGAAAATTCACATTTTCTAGTATGACACACTTCCTGTTCCCACATTCCCAGCCCATGACAACATAGGTAGGTAATATTTATCAAATACTTACTATGGGTCAGGCCCTGGACCAAGTGCCTGTAAAGGTCCACCTCATTCATGTCTCAAAACAACCCTGGCCGGGTACGGTGGCTCACACCTGAAATCTCAGCACTTTGGGAGGCTGAGGCAGGAGGATCATTTGAGGTTAGAAATTCAAGGCCAGCCTACACAACATGGCGAAACCCTATCTCTACTAAAAATACAGAAATTAGCCAGGCGTGGTAGTGCGCTTCTGTAATCCCAGCTACTGAGGAGGCTGAGGCACGAGAATCGCTTGAACCTGGGAGTTGAAGGTTGCGGTAAGCCGAGATCGCACCATTGCACTCCAGCCTGGGCAACAGAGGGAGGCTCTGGCTCCAAAAAAAAAAAACAAAAACCCTATAAAAAAGATACTATTATTCTCCTCATTTTATAGATGCATCAACTGAGGTTTAAAAAATTAAGTTCAGGGCCGGGCGCGGTGGCTCAAGCCTGTAATCCCAGCACTTTGGGAGGCCGAGGCGGGTGGATCACGAGGTCAAGAGATCGAGACCATCCTGGTCAACATGGTGAAACCCCGTCTCTACTAAAAATACAAAAAATTAGCTGGGCATGGTGGCGCGTGCCTGTAGTCCCAGCTGCTCAGGAGGCTGAGGCAGGAGAACTGCCTGAACCCAGGAGGCGGAGG